GGCCCCTCACATTTAGCTTCTTTATCCTTTTCTGGTCTTTAGGAATGTAGGGGAAACCCCAGGGGTCAAGATGCTGTTCACGAAGGAAATCTATTACCCTACTATGAAAGTTGCACTATTACCTAAGCATGCAGTACCAGTAAACCAGCATTTTTGAACTTTATTCAGGTATAAACCCTCTCCTATCTGTTTATTCGATAATGTGCGTTCTTTCGTTGTATACTTTATAAGATTAAAGACTGCAGTTTCAGCAAGAGAAACATTTCCCTTACAACACAACTGATGATACTAGACCAGGTACAGTTTTCAAGAATATACATCATCAATAGAACAACTTTCAGGAGCTCTATAAAGCATGTTCTACTCGTACATGAGCAAATTCGTAATTATAGGAAAAGAACGCTCGTGCCTAAATTATAGGAAAGAATGCTATAGCAATTTCTTGGTGTTCATCAATATTATGTTGATAATGGAGTAAGATTATCCGTGCAATGTTCATCTTAAGCAACCTAATATTTCATGTTGCCATGTATGTCAATCTCTGACACGGTGCTGTCATTGGTGTCATTTGTTACCTGAAGATTCATCACAGCGGAGAACTTGTACAACCAGACAGAAAGACATCTTTGCTTTATTAAGAAAACTACTCTATTGGCAAGGCCTCCGTTTTCCTTCTTAGCCTCCACAAATAGGCAATAATTGAAAATTATCACTTATTACACACTTAGTCTTAGTTGCTTTTACCGGTTCCTACTATTGGCTGAAACCAGTGTAGCCTCCCAAATCTAAGGTATAGCTCATATTAAGGAATCATCCCAAGATCAGACAATTGATGTAGACCTAACTTAACAAGGATTTTTTAAGTTGAAAATAAATCAATACAGGGACAAATATGATTTGAAAGAAAAGACAAAATAAATAATCAGAAGAAATTAAGAATTGCCGCATAACAAATCAACAACGGAAACAGTCCCAAGGAGGAACAACAAAGTTAGATAAGAAAACTTCAAACAGATTTGACAGGTCCAGATAGAAAACAATGGCATGCACGAAGAGAATTGACAGGGTCAGATAGAGAAGACATCACAAAGATCACGTCTTTTGAGAAACATTTCTGAACAAACTTGTAACCATGCAATCATATAAAAAAAACGTCCTACAAAAGCAATAGAATAAGTGGTTTAAGAATCTAAAATATAGTGCCTGACTTTAACAAAGTTATCAGAATTAAAAAGACTACTACATATAAAATGACATAACTGATGTTGCAATTATTACCTGAAATGAACGACTCGGACAGAAGTCACCCTCCTACTCCATAATCAACTTCAGAATGCATCTGATACATAAACACTGGTCATTGCATAGTGCAAATGCATTCTCCCAAAGCTAAGGCACTACAATCAGAAGAACACTCTGTCTACGTCTTTCCACTTTACCATACATGTACCTGGGGCTTCTTCTGATACAAGTACAAGTAAGCTCATATTCACATTTCACAATAGGGCATATTCTTGGCAAAAATTCAACTCTGACCATTACATGATTCCCGTGAATTAAAAGACATAATGGGAAGATCATGCTATCATGAGGGTCAGCGGATATGTGTTAATAGAATAGAACAGAGGTGACAAGTAGCTACACCTCCATAGTACAGGGGCTGCATCTACAGATAACCCACCATAACATCAAAATCATATCAGGCAGATATTGTCTAACATTTCAACTATCTAGTTTTGGATGTGAACAATTTCCTTACGCTTGCTCCAGGTTACTTCACGCCTGCTTCAGGCTACTACAAGAACAGAAAACTGGAGCTCAGAAATTATTTGACTATACAAAATAAATGAACTCAATAACCTCTGACTGAAAATTGCTGTCACCTTTGTGATCCCCATTAAACTAAGGAACTGCCAATGGACATCAGACTGCACATCTAACTGAAACCAATGGTAAATGACTACCAGATCAGAAGTAATTTGCACCAAAGAAATATATTAAGAATATGCCAATTGATGGGAAAAAATAAATTAGAAATATATTGATTCAATAAGCAAGTTGCGACTGCTCCTATTTGTTGCTACGACATGCTTCACCAACAGCACACGCGTTGCATGATGTCAACGTATCCAAGAAAAAAGATGCCATCTTAAGAAATCCAATAATTTATCCAATTTAAGAAACAATATCATTCAAATTATCATGAAAATTTAAGAAAATTGCAGCCTAATGCAACAGGAATACAAAACAATGACCTCTCAAATTCAGAGTTCACAAAAGAACATTCAAATTGATTTAAGCAGCAGGGACCAGACCTAGTGGGAGAACAAACTAAGTCAAACACATGAAAGATGGTCAGCATAAAGTTACTATGAAATTAGAATGGCCCTCAAATGGAGATCGAGGAACTCTATGGCTCTTGTAAGGAGCTGGAAAAACAATTCTGCTATACAAGTCTGCATAATTGTACATTTTAATGCTTTTCAGGAATAAAGAAGTATGAAAGCAATGTCCAGAGCAGATCAATCAACCAAGTATGGTATCCTAATTATAAATTGTATAAATCATCAATTAAAGACTGTAATTTGGTACAAGGAGAGATCTAGGTGACAGAAGACAATTAGTATCTGCCAAGAACTTTTAAAAGGTATATTAAAGAATGGACTAACCTAGTTACAATTTCTAGTCTGCTTCACGTAGATGTTTGGGTAGTTAGTTTGTATCATGGCAAAACTACAAGCACATTGATTTAGACTCTGGAATATGCACAAAAGATATAGTTGTCTCCTTAAAAATTCAAATCTGAAAGGTTATCCATGGGAATTTCTAGGCCCACTAGATCCATGTCCAGTAGTGCATCATCATCGACATTCAACCAGGAACCAATATCTTGACCTTGTTCCCCCAGCCCCTCAGCTACATCTAACTCATTAATGGAGTCTATCCCCTGCAGAGGAATGTTTGTGAATGTATTATCTTCTGTCACCTTCGATAAATCCTGAGCCTTAGGCGATGGAGCCAATTCCACTTCTGTTTTCATTTTGGTGTTGCCAGCATTTACATTTTCACAAGATTCCCGCATAGAATGCAACCTATTGGTTGTTTCCATTACTCTGCCAAGGCCATTCCCAGAATTTGATAACTGTGCTATCTTTTGCTTCGGCTTCGCTTTCGTCTTACGCTCACCCTTGGCAATGCTTAATGTTGAATGGCTACCTTTTGGAGGAGAGTTCTTTATTAACATATCTCCATTTTGATCCTTATCAGTTTTCTTCAATTTCACACCGCCTGGAAGAGCATTAACAGCTGGCATGGCTTTCGAACCCGACACACCTATAACAACATCATCAAGTAGTACCTCATTCTTCTTCCCTCTGTTTGACATATTGTCATTTCTAACAAAAACTTGTTCAGAAGGTTGAGTGAGACCATAATATGGATCCAATTGACTTTTGTCAATCTTATGAATGGGCCCATGTCTCTCAATCATATTGGATGAGACACCAGAAGCTGCAAATTGCACAGTAACATCAAAAATAGAAGAATAGGCATTAAAAAATTCATACAAAGACATAGCTAGATATATTTGAAGAACAGTAGTCGAAAGGAGATGATAAAGTAATTAAAGATATCATGTTCAAGTGGCTTACCAGATACACAAGAACCAACTTGAGAGCTAAGTGAATCTACATTCATACTGGGTGTTGTCTCAGTGGTCAGGCCATGAACACTTTTGTTGTCAATGTTGAGCACAGGTTTAGACAATAGCACATCCCTTAAGGGAAGTTCACTGAAGTAACTTTGACCTGTTTCCTCAAATTTCTTGCATATGGTAAGAATTCGCTTCGCAAAGGCATCAGCAAGTTGTTTAGAAATCTTGTTAGCACCACTTTTAGGGCCCGAACCACGAGTTCCCCGACCACCCTGCCATACAGGAGTTTCAGAGGCTTTTCACAGTGCAATGCACATAATACATAAAATCATTAAAATCATGTCAAATAAATGCTACCAGGTGTGACAGTTACATTTATGGTTTAATAGATAGTGAGAAATTGGTTACAAAACTGACACATTATTCTCGTCTTGGACTTGGTTGCAATGAGGAAACCAAGTTCAAATACTTTTTTAGTATTCGTTTCATAAATGAATAGAATGCAACCAAATTATCAGATAAGCCTACATATAAATGAATCGAATATGAATTTTATTGCAGTACTCGATCTGAATTTGAATCCAAATTCGAATATTTGAAATTCACCTGAATTTGAGTTCCAATAGTGGGATATTCTATTAGAATTTCTATTTTCTGCAGTTTTCTTTCCATTTCTCTTCTCTCTTCCTTTCACTTCTTCCTCTACTACTACTTTTATCTCCTATGACCTTCTTTCCCTTATATTTCGTTTCCCGCCAATTCTTGCGCCCTTTATCCATTGTTTCCCCAAATGGATTACAGGTATATATCACAGCAAGTTACACTCTCAACAGTGTCAATAGAAGCATTACATAGAACTTACCACAAGTTTTCCATGAGCCAAGATAACAAGTTGGTCCATGGCAAGCCGTTCAAGGTTCCTACAAATGGAGAGGTGAAAGCAAAATAAATAAGAGATAAAGCTTGTATGACTGTCTCCAGAGTATGGGAATTCATACCTCATCTCACTTTCCTTCTGTTCCTGAATCACTTTCTCCAATTTGCATAACTGATTTTTAGTGTTTTGCACCTATAGACAAATATAATACATAAGAATAACCCTGAAGAAGGGTACAACCCGGTACATAATGTTGATAAAATCCTCTAATTTTCACATCCTGCGCAGAATCAACACCAACTAACCTACAAAGAAAACACTCATCTTTTCTCCAACAATCCTTCTGGAATTAACTTATAACACAATGTAACACAAAATAACAGGTTTATTCATAGTGTAAAACTCTTCTGACGGGCATAGATTTTAAGAACTAGTAGAAGGATCTTGATTCCTAATAGATTAATGTAGTAAGGGATGGATTTGAAGGACTGGGAGATGAATTTTGATTTGAGATTTGTCTTCAGAGATGAAGAAAACTATAGAGGAGTTTTAATTGAGATTCAGAAATGAAGAAAACCCATGTGTAGGAAGTTGCTTTAATTTTCTGAATTTAGAGATGAAAAAATAAATCCAGAAACAAAAATCACACAAAAACAAATTGTTTTGGTTCCAAATGATTTCAAAAGTAACTGGTACTAAAATTTCTAGTTAACTAATAAAAATTCATCTTGGATCTAAACCACTAAAGATTTCAAGAACCAAAAAAACAGAATTAGGTTTTAATTTAGTTTAGTAGACTAAGTTTGTTTTCTAGCAAAAAAACAACAGCCAACTATCATTATTTTCTCATGTGGGAATATTCCACTGACTGTGTTTGCTTTTCAAGGATGAGCCATGAGGGGTTTTTGGCAAAAGGTTTTAAAGTTCACCTAATAACTGGTCAGCATGACAAGAATTAGGACTATTACATTATCTGATAGCCATAACTGCTAAAGCAATTTAACTATGAAACAAAGTTATTGCCAAAAAGCTAACCTGTTGGTAAAGCCTGATCTTGAGTTCTGAAACAGCTTTATCAATCTCATGACTACTTCCCTTAGCAAGATCAGGCTGTACTTGGAAATTACAGGAGAAAATGTTACATAAAATATGAAATAGTACAAAAAGAAAAGTTCACTCAGATATGTTAATGGAATGAACAATTATCTATTGAATTCACAATTTTCTTTATTCACGAAAAAGTTAGTTTATTTATGAAAACGATAAAAACGTACAATAGATCAAAAGGTAACATGCTGTGACAAGTTCACACGTCACTATCACCATATCAATGTGATAGAGCTCATGATTTTTTATATTGATAGACAAAATTTAGCATGCATCAGAAAAGGAAAGTAATGCTATTCCACCTGCATTGAGAAGAAATTGAGAAGTTTTACCTTAATTAAGATCTAAGAACACGTGCAGATTAGTTGTGCATACATTTTTGTGTTGTACAGCATGTTCATACACATAGTGTAATTGAAATATCACAGTAACAAAAATATTGATTTCTGTCCGACCACACATTGACTCGTTAGCATAAAAGAAAGTTTAGGTGCAGAAAATGATTATAAATAACCTTAAAAAAAGTAAAACAAACACTAGAAAAGTAGTTGCTATGTCATAAGTGGTAAGTTTCTGTTTGCCATAAAATTGCAGGAGCATGCCTCTGTTACTTATAAAAGGTTTGATAGAGGTAAGCAAAACAGTTGCAAAAGTTGAACTAAACACACCTGATCTTTATAAGGCTATGAATGAAAATTATTTAACTGGATCTTAGATAAAAGGGTCACTGATTCAAGTAAAACTTTAAACCGACTGCTAGAAGAATGGAATTTGGATGTTAAAAGGAAAAAAAACAAATATGACTCTCTCTCTAGAATGAAAAAAACGACAAAATAAAATGCAAAGTAAAAAGTAGCATGATCAGTTCAATCAAGGCCAGGTAGGAAAGGCTGTTTACTATTCCCACTCTGATGGAACACCTGGTTTATTTTTCCATTATCGATCTACAAGAAAAAATAACTCCAAGTCTCCAAGTACATCCAGATTTGGAAATAAGAGTAACATTGGATTCCGATAATATGAAAGCAGGATGCTTGAAGATATATGCACAATGTGGAACTACTATGATGCTAGGGTAAAACAAACTACAGATTTAGAGTTGACAAATCTCAAAAGGTACACGGATCATAACAATGGTTTAATTTTTAGATATGGACATGGCGTTCAGCTCTAAAATTTGGGATGAGATCCAAGAGTATTTACTGAGTGTTATCTAACTCTTTGTTTAATGCCTTCTGAATTGTACGATATATGTGTCCTCATTTCATAAGGAAAATTCTTACAGTGTAAAGCTAATAAAGAAAGCAGGTATGATGATTAAAAGACCATCCATGAACCTTTCCAATGTCTATCTAGTTGCTATTGATTAAATACAATTATCTAGAAAACATTTAGAGGATACGTAAGCATATAAAAAAGAACAGTGGAACAGGAAGCACACAGAATGGAAGTTTAGAGGCTTAAAGTGTCAATTTTGATACTAGGTTGACTCATCCTATGTGGCTTCAGGGTGACTTAGATGAAGTTTTACTTTACATTATAATATTGAAGCAATCAAATGATTGTTCAATCAATGTAGGAGGAATTCTTGACTAGATAAAATGGCAGGTACAAAAACTAACAGTCTAGGTGCAGAAACAACCCACCTCAGCATCCGGATATATGCCTATGCTGTGGAGTTCCATCAAGATCTTGTCATCCAAAGACATGTGCACATATTGGCATTGATGTGAAGACATGCCTGGTAAACTTGTATCCATGATTTCTTGCTGCTTCAAGTTATCTTGCTCGAATTTACAGAGAGAGATTACACCTTCATTATCTGGATGCACCAGCTCATTCTTATCTTGAAACAGCTCGTTTTCAGATATAAAGTTGCTCAGGCTCCTAAAGGTGGTGCTGGGAGATACAAACCCGTTGCAAGATGTATTATCTCCATAGCAGTTTGTCTGGCTCCGCAAATCATTGTCAAACTCCGAACCGCATTTAGTAAGATCATACCCAGGCTTGTTTTCCCCAAAGCTAGCTATTTCATAGGGGCAACAATCACTTGAGAACTGCAAAAATGTATCTTCTTGTTTAGAATTGCAGTCAGCCATATTGGTTCCTTCCTCCGAAATTAAGGCAGAAAGAAGCCTCTGTGATAGAGGAATCACTCTCTCAAACCATCTCTCTGTGTCTATTTCTCCAGGTGTGGCTTTAACTGGTCGGGACTCGTCAGCTGAACGCCTAGTTCCTTCAGACTTGGTCAGTCCAACAAAATTTGTTTGGCTGGCTGGTTGAGACATGTCATGTGGCACCACTTGGTACATATCCTCTACCTGAATTGGAGAATATATTCAAAGTTAGCAAAGCACATAATACAGTTGGCTCAAAAAATTGCTATGGGAGTCAGAAAACTAACATTATACAGACTTGCATTGTAATATTATGTAGCCCAAAGAAATGAAGCACAATATAATAATAAATATTAGAAGCTCATTGGGAAAAGCCCCGCTAGTTATACAATCAGAAAGAAGATTTACAAAAGAAGTCCAAGCAAGCAGCATGAGTAGTAATAAAATAGAAACAGAAGAAATAGAACCAGTTGCAGTAAGCAGAAAGTTCCAGTATTCATTACCACATTATAGCTAATGTCAAACATATTAGAGAAACTTCTGTCAAGCTCCTCAGCAAAATTTATCTGTAGTTAAAAAAAGTTCAATAAGTGCTTAATATAATATGCTTAAGTTAATCTAACCAGCATAGGAATAAAAGAAGAAATACTAGATACAGATACGAACCTGATGCCTCAGGAGGGAAGAATCCTCTGAACTGACTGAAGCAAATATTGGTTCCACTTTCGCCCAAAATGGCCCAGACTTTTGTAACCCTGCAGGTGCAAGTGTGAACAAGATTAAACATGTTACTCCTAGAAAGACTTTGTACTATAAATGGAGTATGATGCTCACAGTAGGCATCTCGGACATATTTCGCAGCTGCTAATAATTCTTCAAGATCATCATTACATTCGCCTATAAGAGAAAAATAGATGAGACGAATTCATAGAACACATTAGGAACAAATGAAAAAATACTTTATGGTGCAAATTAATCTCAAAAGCATGATAAAATGTGCAAAACAAAATACCAGTAAATTTTGAGGAGCCATTGTTTATAATTGGCAGAGGACGTGCAGAAATCTTGCGATCTGATATCTTCTTTGAGGGAGGACGGCCAATCCTACTGCACAGTCTGCACCAGGCAGATAATTACACTAAGTTTAAATAACATAGACTACTTAGATTTGCAAAACTTAAAACGGCAACCTTTCACTCTTATCAGAAACAAGCCTCCCACTTTTGAGTGGCTTGGCACTTTCTGAGCTTTCCAGCTTTCCGTTGCTTGATTGTAAACAAGCTTTTGACTGTATTGAACCTCTTCCACTTCGGACTTGCCTCCGAACTCCATCTCCAATTTCTTCTCTAGGAGGGACCTTGTTCTTTTTTCTAGTCAAAACAAAAGTTGCAGCTTTATGATATGCATTTAGTGCCCCATCCTCGAATTCACCATTGTCATGTCCTCTCTCTTTGGACTTGCTCTCAACGGCAACAGATTCCTCACTTTCAGATGGGGTAGAAGGAGATGGTACATTTTCTAGTTTTATGTTTAAAAGGGTGTCATTTGGTATGCCCCTGCTGACCAATACCCCTCGGGAGTCTATATTTGATAACCTGGCTACAAAGTCGAGACCTGCAGAGCCCTCAGCCTCAGAGTCGTCAATATTTGACACTGGAGAAACTACATTTGCTCTTCTAGTTCGAGAGATCTTTTCCCTGCGTTGACCTCCCCACCTAGCAGCTACAGGAGGTGAAGAAGATCCTGCTGATAGAGGTCGTTTACGATTACTTGAACCAGAAAAGGACTGGACTTTGTTCGAGCAAGAAGGCTGCTCCGATCCATCCTCTGGAGGACAGGGAAGATTAGGCATGTTTATTACAATACTTGAACCACTTCTTGGAGCTCTGACAGCTTTTCCTTTCGCTGAAGGACGCTGACTTCCTACTTGAGCATCCTCACAGATATTCAGCCTGGATAACATGTTGAAGAGAGTAGTTAGTGTGACAAACAAATTTAAACTTGAAGTTGAAAGATCAATAAGAAATCCAAATAAACAGAATTAACCTTCGCTATACCATAGGCAGACAGAAGTTAGTGTGTGTATGTGTGTGCGCGCCTGCATGTAAGACCTAACATCCACACGTGAAGTGCACGTGAACAAACAGGGCACATTAATTTGTGCCACCACGATCAAGTGTTCAGGGACTTAGAGATTAATCATATAGCTTTCAAGGGGAAAAGGGAAAAGCAAACCAATTAAAAAAGCCAAGTACACATTAGATAGGGTAAAAACGCAGCAAGTACCCTGACATGAGCAATATCACATGGGAATGAACTGGAATAGCTTGCACTACATTATTAAATGGTTGCTAAAATTACCATATGAGTTTCTGATGATAATGTGAGAGAAAAAATGTCATGAAATTGTACATACTTTTTGCTCCCTTTAGCAGTGACTTGCTCCTTATCAAGCACAGAGGAGTATTCCTTTCTATCACTCGAAAGACGCCCATTGCCCGAGTCATTTCTTGGCATGATGCGGGAACCATGGCCAGTCATTTGAGAGATTTCATCCATCTTATTACTTCCGATGATTCCATTAGATAATCCAGTCCTACAAAAATTGGGAAAAAATAGTTCCGTGGGATCTAACAAAAATTTCAAGCCATCAAAACACAAACACAACAAGAAAGGTGTCAGTCTGCATGTGCATAGATAGAACCAAATAAACTAATTCAGCAGCAGATAAAAATGAGCCAGCACATTTAATTAAGAGGTTAAATTGCAAGAAGCAACAGGTAAACACCAAACTGACATGTAACTAGTTTTAGGCAAGCTACGTAATAAGTAAACTAGGTATCAGAAATCAGAAGGTTGGCAAAACATAGAAAGGAAACTGAACCATCAAAGCATATAATAGCATAAAAGAAACGACTATACAGCTACTAAATAATAAAAGTCAACAAAATATTATTTCAGTCGATAATTCCTAGTAAAGCACACGTATATGCAACTGTAACTCCATGCTTCTTCTTCTAGGTTAGTATATTCACACTTCAAACCATTAGTTGGTTCTTTCTCGTCGATAATTCCTAGTAAAGCACACGTATATGCAACTGTAACTCCATGCTTCTTCTTCTAGGTTAGTATATTCACACTTCAAACCATTAGTTTGTTCTTTCTCGTCCAAATCTTGCACAACAGCGTATGAATGATATCTGCCCATGATTACTTCTACCTACCTCCTAAGACCAAAAGGTCCAATGGTAAGGACCTTCTTATGAGTGTGTCTCAAGTGAATTAATCTAGAGAAACGAAAGTGTGCTTGTAAAGGGAAAGAATTCATTACATTTTGAATGCATAAATGTCTTGAAATGTCGTGTTATGCTAGAAATGAATAACCAGGGAATGAGGAATAAGACATGTGAACAAGAACATCTCTTTTCATCTCACTACTGCATGCATAAATAGCACAAATGGATAATAAACAGAAACAAAACCCTGTATAATTGCCGATGATTGACTCATTATCACTCCATAAAATCAAAAATTAAAATCAGCTGAAACAAAGGCATCCGGCTGCCCCTACCCGCAACCTTGACAACACTGCATCTGGCTGCCCCTACCCTCAACCTTGACAACACTTCCAGTGTCATTACGGCTGACAACTTTATTACCTATGTCAAGTGTACCACAGATCTTCTCATATCCTCTTGGACAAATCTTAAGCTTCACCAGATATGCATGCACCTGCCTCTGTCTGTCTGTCTTTCATAATTGAACCCCACTTTTTTTTTTTGCTGGCAAGGGAAACCTGGTCACCCCAGCTCAATTTTACTCCTTTGGAGTCCCGCCAACGGCCCTTGATCGATTCCCCATGGTCCCAACCCCACTTTAATATGCCAAATGATGCAAGGAACAGAGTAACATGAGAATGATGAAAAAAACCTAGTGAACTAGCATCTCTTTCATCTAATCAGTCTCCTTACAAACTGCACATACAAATAAGAAGATAAACAAAACCTCATCCCATTATGAATAATTCATTTATCATCCTTTCATAAATTTGAAAGCCGAAAATCAGCCTAGAGGAAACCATATGGCAGCCCCCGCTCTCCCCGCTTTCCATACTCTCAGTCTCACCAAGGTTGTCAACAGTTAACACCATTCTCTGTATAAGAGATACAAAAACTGCTGCAAGTCATTTTGTGATTATACTTACTCTTCACCAGTTATGCTTGCAGCTGTATCTGTCATCATAATCCAACACCACCCTAGTATACATTGTCTCCTTTTGACTTTATTTAGTTAGAAGTCAATGGTCCACCATTGTGATATATGAGTGTTGAGTGAACCTACAGGTATAAGGTAATTTCTGATGATAGTTAATTTCTTGGTTGCCTGATTTGTGATCACATAACACTGTCAATGCAACGTCCACATATTTCCTGATTGATAAAATCTGAACATAATGAGTCTTATGGACAGAAAACAGCAGGAGAATAGATCTATTTGGAGAATGACTTGTTCCTCAAGTCTAGATGATTGAATCTGCATGTATCTTGAGTGTGTTTCACCTTCACGTATCTGTCCAGATCAAATCATTTACATCCATCCTTCAAAATGAACTTCAAATCTGTTCCACAATGGCTAGTCTCTAGTGCAAGACACCAAATCATGTTCATATATATATATATATATATATAGGTGAAAACTCCTATCAACTTAAGTGGATAGCAAATAGTGTGTCCACCAAAGTTTTACTTATATATACATATATACTAAGAGAGAGAGTAAATATATACATACATACATACATTATACATATATAAAAGAGGGTGAAAACTCCTATCAACTTAAGTGGATAGCAAATAGTGTGTCCACCAAAGTTTTTAACCACTCATGTTACCTAGGGATCCATGTATTATATAAAAATATGTTTTATATTAATATATGTGTGGCTAGAAACTTTGGTGGACATCAACTTAAGTTGATAGGAGTCTTGCTCTATATATAATGCATAAAATATTTATACATGTGTGCGTAACACGCGCGTACTCATGTATATGTAACCTCTTAGGAAGCTCATTATAGATATATTTTTGCCTTAGATAAAGAGCATTATTCTCCTAGTGCTTACAGATTTTGCGGAGGTTTAGTGTCATTTATTCTAAAATCCTCACATTGCTTGACTTTGTAATTACTTCATTAGTTAATGTTTAGTGTTTACATTTACAATGTAAGGTAATTGCGGGAACCCTCCAGCCTAATGTCTTGTTTTATCACTATTTCCCTCCAAAACAAAAGATCCAATTACTTAAAACTCTCCTCCATTCTAAATTCACCAGCCATGTTGACTTAGAATTGAGAAATGACAATTCTATCTTAATCTTATTCACAATCCAAAACCCGTTCTCCTTTCTTTTATTTATCTTCTCCCTCCACATATTTCCTCTTATAGACTCAAAACCAAATGTCAAACTGAAACAGAAACCTTCGTCTTCTTCCTTGTTCTTCAACATTCATGAAACTTGTCTAAACTCAACTGATTCCTACTCCTCCGTCCAATTTTCTCGCTCTCGTGTCTTTTTCCTCTCTATTCTACCACATTCCCACTTAAGCCCAAATCCCTCCTCCTCACACTCCTTGACATCTACATTTTACTTTGTTTTCATATAATTAGGCAAAAAAATGTCGTGTAATTCTAGATTACAGTGTTAGTGGGATTCACAGTGTAGGCAGGTAAGTGATTTGAGGAAAGAAGTTAGAGGGGATTTTATTAAGTACAGCTACATCATTTTGTATGCTTCTCCAAATATTAGATAAAAGTGAAAAAAAAGTGTTCATGTTTACCCTAGTCTTGCTCCATGATAAATATACGGCAATCAGAGAATTCTAGAAGCCTTTTCTTGAATAAAAGTAAGAGGCTATTGGAGATGTTGCACGATAAAAGAGACTTCTCAAATTTGGCAGCAAGCTGAGCTTGTAGTACCCATCAGGTAATCAGAAGAGCTAGAGATTTGTTTCAAGGACAAAATCTCATAAAGGCTCCAAACTATCAAGGAGAACAAACAGTTATTTCCATAGGAATTACCTGAAGCCAAGACCATCACCAGATCGTGGACGGGGTTCATTACTCGGCTTTTGTTGAATTGCCTTTTTGATTTCACGATCACCATCTAGACTAGTTCTGTAAACCATTGTACCAACAGAACGTTTTCGTTTATTCCTTTTGTCCCATCCTTCCCCTCCAGCGGCCAGACCATGCATCTTGTCATCAGCGGACACCGGAAACCCATTGCAAGCCCTCAGCATACTTTTATCCTTGTCAACATGGATGATTTTATCCTTGTCGATCAACGTGCCTTGTCTCACAGCAATAGTGTTGCGGCCCTCTTGTTGAAGAGAATAAGGTAAAGACACCTGTCCAAGAAGATACAGATATCGGATGTTTGTATGAAGAAGTGCTCGAAAATATGCACTCCAAAGTATCTGGTGCACGATTATTACTGTTACTTATATTTTTCATCTTTAGTTAGTAGTTACTATGGCTATGTTGTTTCTTATTGGATTCCCTTTTTACTATAATATTAGCTTGTACCCCTTTTCTTTTCAGGGAGGACTTTACACTCGGTTTCTTGTATTGTTTTATTAATTTCTCCATGCCGTATTCCACATTTTCCTTAAAAAAAAGAAAGAAGAAAACAAGAAAAACTAGAATATATTATGCTTTATTCAGTAGCAAGTAATAGCAATCTGGTATAGGGGCAACATATGCATAGCTTACGATCAGAAATGTCAACACAAATTATGAACAAATACATGTAGAAATATATAAGCAAAGAACCTCAAGAAGGTGTTGTAATGAAGATCGTCAAGAAGCAGGATGATTTAAACTATGAACATTGAAACCCAGCTGTCTAAAAACCAAAATAAGTTCCTGGTAATAAATACAAACCCGAGCATCTGCCATCGATGAGCGTACCCGCTCACTAAGATTACCAGATTTTGTCCTTTCTTCCGGTCTTTGATCTTCAAGATCAGAAGGATTTTGGTGCATCTGATTCCCTACCTTCAATAGACTCGAATTACTCGACTTCTCGTTTGATTGCATATCAGTCCGTTGTCTCTTCTTCATGACAATGTTGCGAAGCTTATCCAGTTTCACTATAGAATTTTGCAGTAATTCTGACCTCTCTCTGGTAAAAGACAAGCTCATTAAGCAAATAGATTTAAAAACATTAGGCATGCTAAGCTGTGAAAACAGAAAATCTTTCAGGTTTACAACTTACTCTGCCCTCGAATGATTCTCATCAATGCATCTTCTGAATCGTTTAAGCTCATCCCAGGATACAGGGGGAAGGGGCTTTGATTGCAAGGATCCAAATGGATGGTCCTCAACAGAAATTCCAAGAACTCTCCTCAACTCCCCCGATCGAACGTTCCTCAGCCCATTAATGGGGAAAGGCTCTAGTGACATATACTGAGAAACTGGAACAGTTTCAGCATTTCTTGATCCTATTTGCCCGGAAACCATCATTCGATTCTCTATACTCTCACGAGAACTCCCAGACCTATCCAAATTCGAGGTAGAGTAATTTCCCCGCTGCCCATTTGGATGGACAGAAGCAAAGCTTATTCCATTGAGACTGCTCGAAGCCAATTCAGCTCTCATGCTCCCCGCCATATTAAACTGAATCAATCATAAGAACCCACGTCCAAATTTACGTGGAACTCTTAAATATTCATAATAGCATCCCCTTCCCACATAATGAAATCAAATGCAGAATGCAATAATACATTGTTAATGTCAGTGCTACATATAGTTGGTGAATTTTAGTAAAATCATTCAAAACAAATACACATAGGACATTACTAAGCTTAAGCTATTGAAGCATTGAATAACAAAACCTCAGTCACCAAACCTCGAACACTAGCAACTACTCAGCTCAAACTCTAACTTCACAAAAACGACCAGAAATCATACAAAGCCAATTCAAAGATCAAATCAATACCCCAATTCCAATTATCACAACCTGCTTCCCGCTTAAACCAATCCAAATCCAGACCTCCAAGCGCACCAAACAAATGTGACGACTGCAGCGAGATATCCAGAAGCTCCAGCATCAAAATTGGATTGATCGAAGATCAATGAGTGGAAAAGGAACGGATAAAGAAAAACCCTAATCGAGGACCAATCAGAAGACGAAAAGCCAAACCCTAGTTCTCTCCGTAACCAAGGGTTTCGCCATTGCTCGATCAGATTGGATCCAATCTCAATTTTATTGCGAATCGATCGATTCCGAGGAGAGAGAAAACACTCGAGCCGTCGTCCGGTGGAAATTTTTTTTTTTTAAAGATTAATTTTTCAGACGGGGAGGCGCTATATTTTGGGGGTAAAAAAATGAAAATTTTGGGCGCTGCTAGGAAAAAGATAAGTTTTTATTATTTTTTTATTGGGTCGGAATTGGAACCAATTATTGGGCTCACCGGATCTGATTGGATAACCAAATTGAGCGCGATGAATTTGGGCTCGTGTTAATGAGGAGGAGCGAGCAATCATCATCATGTTCACATCTATAATTCACTTTGCGTTGACCAACTCGGACCAAAGCATTATGGATTTAGGAATCGCAGTGAATAATGCCAACAAGTAAAGATTGTGAGATTTGTGGGGATTTGTGTCCTGAGTGGAAGTTTACTACACATTGATGGGATTTTTTCCCCTTAATAGGGATCTTTAAAATCCCAAAAAATGTGAAGAATTTTTATATCATGTTATGAAACAATTAAATAATATGGATGTTCATTTAGTTTCTCGAGAAGATTGATACATTTATTACTCATTGAAATTCCCCTAGTACATTAACCTTCTCTCTAGAACAACATGTGAACGCGGTTTGTTCACGTGTCTAGTGGGGGCCACAAATGTTGGGCAGCATGAAGTGATCATGTTGCTGCGTGAGGCGCGATTTGTTCACGCGTCTTGTGGGGCCACAAATGTTAAGCCATGTGAAGTGATCATGTTGTGTGGTAGGACCTACCTACGTGAAGTGTGTGTAAACGCGTGAAACAGATGCGGATGCAGATGCGGATGCGGCGACCTACTTAATTTCCCAACTCAGCTATATATATACCCCTGTTTCAGTTCCTAGGGTTCGGCAGAAAAAAGGAGGTGCAAGTACAGAGCAAAGGGGTTTTTGCGGATGTAGGAGAAAGGCGCAAAGAGCAGACGTGCAGAAGGGAGTTTTTGGCGGCGTGCTGTTCTGGCGGCTATTTCTTTTGAGAGAAAAATAGAGAGATATTTGTGTGTGTGAGAGATTGTTTAAGGGTTTAAATTGAGTGATTGTAAACCCTAGTTGTATTATCTCCTCTCTAATAGTAGATCTCTCCCCCCTCCTTGCCCCGCGGACATAGGCAGTTTGCCGAACCACGTAAAATTGGTTTGTTTGTGTTTGTGGCTATTGTAATAGTTTTTAGGATCTCTCGACAAGTCAGTCCTAGAACTGATGAGAGGAAGAGCCGATATCTCACTTTATTGAGATATTCGCTTCAGATTCTTATTTCCTTGGTGAGACGGGAATTCTTATTAGGATCTTTCTCTCTTATTGAGCACCAGAAACTCTGCCGAAATTTCTGCTGCGCACAACACAACACAATACATGTTCTAGAATGACTAAATTCATTAATGAGTAGTTAATATGATTCATGTATCATCATCTTAATTTATCTATAAATAGAGGTATTCCTACCTCACTTTGTAATGAGAAAGATTGATGAAATAAAAATTCTCTCTACTTCTCGTCTACTTTCTCTACTCTATTTTATAGTTTATGATTTACCATATAAACTGCTACGCCAAAATACATTAGTTTTACAAAATGCTATCAGCACGAGACTCTACCATTAACACAATCCATTTCAAGACCATTTTAGATTCATCGTTGGGCACGTGTTCATACTTTGGGTAAACCTTTGAGGTAAATTTTCTCTTTCCAATTCAATTCATTTTTCACTATGACTAACCTTACAAAACAATAATTTATACCTCTTGATATTTCTGGAAAGAATTACTTATCTTTGATGTTAGATGTTGAAATACATCTTGCTGCAATGGGTCTTGAAAATACTATTGTGGAAGAAAATAAGACATTAAATCAAGACCGTGTCAAAACTATGATTTTCCTTCGCTATCATTTGGATGAAGGATTCAAAACTGAATATCTAACTGTAAAAGATCCACTTACTCTGTGGAATAATTTGAAAGAGAGATTTGACCACCTGAAGTTGGTCGTGCTCCTAAAAGTCCGGTATGACTGGCTTCACTTAAGGCTACAAGATTTTAAATCAATCAATGAGTATAATTCTGCAATGTATAAAATTACCTCTCAATTGCAACTGTGTGGAGAAAATGTCACTGATGATGATATGTTAGAAAAAATATTCTCCATTTTTCATGCCTCAGATATGCTCCTGCAGCAGCAACATCGAGAGAGATGATTTAAGAAATACTCTGAATTGATTTCATGCTCCTTTTGGCTGAACAAAATAATGAATTATTATTGAAAAATCATGAATCCTGACCTACAAGTGCCAACCCATTCCCTAAAGCGAATGCAACTCAATCTCAAAATCATGGACGTAGGCGTGGACATGGCCGTGGAAGAGGCCGATGACATAGCTATTGTTGTGGATGAGTTCGTTGCAGATATATGCCTTATAATCACAGTACAAAATAACTCTCATTTGTTGGGTCTTTTTGTTTTGATGATGTTTAACAAACAATTTACCACTAATGTTATTTGTCTAGTGTTTATGTTTTTGTATCTATTCTAGGCAAATAACATGTTGGAGGATGGATGGAAACGAGCATTTACGATCATATCCAATGGAGGTCGGCGGAATAGTGGAGTGAAACAATGCAATTCAAGTTGAAGATCCAAGTTCAAGCTTCATCCGTAAAGTGTACCAAGAAGAGCTTTATTGACGATCACAAGCTTGGGTATATTTAGTTTAGGTTTTATATTATGTGTGTTAAGTACTCTAAGCTCAATCATATACACACATATTTATTGGTTATATATATAAAGTTATATATAATATTATATGATACTAGTACGGTATAGGTATATGATATATACTATTAGATTAATATCCTATATTATCTATATTAACGAGAAGAGAGAGAGAGAGAGATGATATTCAATGGGGTATACCTTGCATTAGGAGGCGGATTCTCCTCCTTGCAGCCTCTAAATCACATGAATCTTGAGCGAACAATATGGATGATCCCGCTCCGTTGAACTTGATCTACCATATTCTAAAACCCCAACACACTAAGTTGGTGAAACCCCGTCGCCCGTTTGACACCTCTCACTCCGACCATGTGAAACAGTCTATTATATCAAACCGTTCAAAATTGATACGAGTGGATGAAGGATCAAAGACGACGGGTTCAACCGCCAATGCTTGGTGTGTTGGGGTTTAGATATGCTAGTAATCAAGTCAACACAGGAGCGATCATCACCAATGCGCGTCAATCATGGTGATTTAGAAAAGGCGTCAAGAGAAAATCTCGCCTCTATGACAAGGATACCCATTAATCGCCATATATATGAATAACTATAGTAGTACCTAATAAAACTATATCTATATATACTATATTTATATATATACCTACTATAGCTATATACCAGTACTACTATATCTATATAACGGTACATATATATTATAATTAACTAATATGTACCCCTATATATGTTTTGGTTTTATAGTTTTCAAGTTTATACAAAAAAAATTTTGTGAAAATATTGTTTTATTACTTTATAGACTTAACAATCATAACATACATCATTTATTAAGTCTATAAAATTAGTTTATAGAGTTTCAAAACATGGTTTATGTCCAATGTTAAAAACAAGTATTTTTTATTTACATGTTTTGGACTATTTGTAAAATGAAGAGATTTCTCATTTGGGAGGTGTTTTTTGAAAACCAGTTTTTGTAGCATGTGTCATGTTTACAATCATTTCCCAAAGTTTTACATTTTTTTGATTTTATTTGCTATTTTTTAAAAGCAGTTTAAAAATCAAATTTCTGTTTTAAATAGGCTGTATACTTGTTATCAGTCGACTGATACAATCAGTCGACCGATCTGTTGACTGATGAAAGTGACTGTAGTTACCAAAAGTTTCTATTTGTTTTGGTGGACTGACCAGTCGACTAATGAGATCATCAGTCGATTGATAAGGTCCGTCAGTTGACTGATGAGCTGGAAAACGCCTCTAACGGTCAGCTCATCAGTCGACTGATGAAAGCCATCAGTCGACTGATGCTGTAACGGTTAGTTTTTTCAGCCTTTTATAGTTTTAGGTTTTTTGTCTTTTTGCCTTGGTTTCTCTTGGTTTTGGGTTCCTATAAATACCCCCACATACCCTCTATTTTATTTACTAAGAAGAAAAGTTTTAAACAAGTTTTAAAGGGTGTTTAAGTTTTGTTTAAGTTTGTTTCAAGAGTTTATTTGTGAAGAAACTTTCACAAGAGCAAGTGGAGATCATCTATTGGTGTTTGAGTATTCAACTCTTCTCTCTCTCTTGTTATCTATAGAGAAGTTTTTATAAACTCAATCTAGCTATTTTATATGTTTGATTTTCATTTCCATAAGCTAGAATCTATATTGAGTTTAGTTTAATTTTGTTTTATCAAATCCCATTGTTACACACACCCACTTGAGCTTATAGTATTTCATACATAGTGTAATTGGGGTTGTGAGAGATTATAACTTTAAGTCGTGCTAAATTAAGTTCTCACATTGTTTAGAGAACAATCATTTGTATTATGAGCTATAATTATGAGGTTCACTTTGTAATACACTAGTACACCAAGAGGAGTGTATGGTGAGAGACGGGGTCGTCCCAAGAGGAATGTGGTAGGTGGTAATGCCTAGAGAGAGGTTATAATTCCTAACACTTAAGGGAAACACGGGTTAAAGACCAACACTTGAGGTGGTAGTTAATGTAGTTACATTGTGAGTGATTGTGAACGTTGATCGGTGAGCGTTGAAAACTAACATTGTGAGGTGTAAACGTTTTTTTGGGTAAGCGTAAAAAACCCGGTGTGATAGTGGAGATCTCCTCGAGGTGAGGAGCAGAGACATAGGTCGTAGGGACCGAACTCCGTGAACATATCGTTTATTTGTAATTGCATTGGCGCACTTATTTTTATGTTCATATATTATATCACCTTTGTATATTGTTTATTGTTTATATTGCCCACTATCTAGTTTAAATTGTTTACCCTTGTATTACTTGTATATCCTTGCACATATATTTGTAATATATCTCTTGTGCTAGGATATATTTGTTAATAAGTTTTTAATTTGGCATAAATCGGATTAGATTAGCATAAACCCTATTCACCCCCCTCTAGGGTTCTTTCCTAGTGACATTAGCGTACTTTCAATTAGTATTAGAGTAGGATAGGGTACTTTCATTAAGAAAAGTGAAGAAAAGAAATATTATGAGGAAATATGCTACCGGCG